AGGCTCCCCTTAACTTTTGACGAACAGGCTTGTAACGTGGATCAACATTGAGACGGTGTGTGGCCACTTCTGGGTCGATGCCCTCAAGGTCTTCATGCGACCACGCAAAGACATCCATGTTGTGCTTCAAAAAATCTATTAGCAGGCTAGCCAGATCTTCAGAAAGGGAAGAGCCAATGTAAATTCTTCTGTCTGGATGTTCCTCATCCAAGACCACAGAGGTGAGCTCCTCGACTGGTTCTCCTCTTTTTGTAGTGGAGTCATCCCTTGGGTCAAGGACCTCAACCTGCAAAACTTCTTGGGGCTTCCTAGCCTTCACAGAGGAGACATAGCACTCTCTGGCTGCTACTTGGTCTCCTTTGACCTCTCCGAATCCATTTGAAGTTGGAAAACAGAGAACGAGATGATAAGTGGAGGGCACAACTCTCAATGTGTTCAGAGCTGGCCGCCCTATTATGATGTTGTAGGCTGACGGGCACTCTATTACCAGGAAATTGACCATAACTGTGGAGCTTTGGGGTGCTACTCCGACGGTGACAGGAAATGTGATGGACCCAAGGGGATACACCTTCTCCCCTGAGAATCCAATGAGAGGTGACCTGATAGGCTGCAGCCTCTCCCTGTCCAGGTTGAGCTTGTCATAAGCCTCTGCGAACAAGATATCCGCAGAGCTACCACTATCCACCAGGATCCTGCGCACATTAAAATTGGCCACTGTCATGGTGAGCACCAAGGGGTCATCATGAGGGTGCTGGATTCCCTCCAGGCCCTTATCTGAAAAAGATATAACTTCATCGCTGTCCTGCTTCGGCACCTTAGATGGGCGCATCTCTTCGACATGCCTTGTCTTTCTAGCGTGGGCCTTCATTGCAGAAAATGACTCTCCTCCCCTCCTGCTAGTCCTCTTAAGATGGTGTGTATCTCCCCCACGGACTGCTGATCTTCTTGATTGTGAGGTTGTGGTGCTCGTTCCCTTCCAGTAACATACTGGTGTAGGTGACCACACTGGATGAGCTCCTCAATTTTCCTTTTGAGGTCGTAGCAGTCATCGATGTCATGCCCGTGGTCGCGATGGAAGCGACAATANGTAGGTTGCTCCTGCATTCTGTAGTCCAAAGGGCATGACCTTGTAGCAGTATGTCCCCTTTGGCGTGATGAATGACGTCTTCTCCTGGTCTGGGGGATACATGCTAATCTGGTTGTACCCAGAGTATGCATCCAGGAAAGTAAGCAACTCATGCCCTGCGGTGGCGTCGATGAGGAGGTCAATTTGTGGCAGTAGGTAACTATCTTTTGGGCATGCCTTGTTGAGTTCTGTGAAGTCGACGCAGAGACGCCACTTTCCATTAGCTTTAGTGACCATTACCACGTTGGAGAGCCACTCAGGATATGCTACTTCTCTGATTGCCCCGTTATCTATTAGGTTTCCAACCTCCTTGTCCATAGCTTGGGCCCTTTCAGTAGAGGCTCCCCTTAACTTTTGACGAACAGGCTTGTAACGTGGATCAACATTGAGACGGTGTGTGGCCACTTCTGGGTCGATGCCCTCAAGGTCTTCATGCGACCACGCAAAGACATCCATGTTGTGCTTCAAAAAATCTATTAGCAGGCTAGCCAGATCTTCAGAAAGGGAAGAGCCAATGTAAATTCTTCTGTCTGGATGTTCCTCATCCAAGACCACAGAGGTGAGCTCCTCGACTGGTTCTCCTCTTTTTGTAGTGGAGTCATCCCTTGGGTCAAGGACCTCAACCTGCAAAACTTCTTGGGGCTTCCTAGCCTTCACAGAGGAGACATAGCACTCTCTGGCTGCTACTTGGTCTCCTTTGACCTCTCCGAATCCATTTGAAGTTGGAAAACAGAGAACGAGATGATAAGTGGAGGGCACAACTCTCAATGTGTTCAGAGCTGGCCGCCCTATTATGATGTTGTAGGCTGACGGGCACTCTATTACCAGGAAATTGACCATAACTGTGGAGCTTTGGGGTGCTACTCCGACGGTGACAGGAAATGTGATGGACCCAAGGGGATACACCTTCTCCCCTGAGAATCCAATGAGAGGTGACCTGATAGGCTGCAGCCTCTCCCTGTCCAGGTTGAGCTTGTCATAAGCCTCTGCGAACAAGATATCCGCAGAGCTACCACTATCCACCAGGATCCTGCGCACATTAAAATTGGCCACTGTCATGGTGAGCACCAAGGGGTCATCATGAGGGTGCTGGATTCCCTCCAGGCCCTTATCTGAAAAAGATATAACTTCATCGCTGTCCTGCTTCGGCACCTTAGATGGGCGCATCTCTTCGACATGCCTTGTCTTTCTAGCGTGGGCCTTCATTGCAGAAAATGACTCTCCTCCCCTCCTGCTAGTCCTCTTAAGATGGTGTGTATCTCCCCCACGGACTGCTGATCTTCTTGATTGTGAGGTTGTGGTGCTCGTTCCCTTCCAGTAACATACTGGTGTAGGTGACCACACTGGATGAGCTCCTCAATTTTCCTTTTGAGGTCGTAGCAGTCATCGATGTCATGCCCGTGGTCGCGATGGAAGCGACAATACTTATTAGGATTTCTACTATTTGGAGGAAACTTCATTTTCCCAGGCCACTTTATAACGGGGTCATGCTGAATCTGGAATAGGATATGTCCCATGGCAGCATTGAGGGGAGTGAAGGGTTGACGGTCCCTCTGAGGAGCAGGACCTAGCCGGTCCTTGACAGGGACTCTCTTTGTTCTGCCACGCTTGTTGCTAGTCTCTTTCTTATCGTCCCTCTCCCTTTCCTTCCTCTTCTCCACCGCTTTGGAGGACTCACCTTTCCTGGCCCTTGTGATGTCTTTCGCATTCATGTACTTTTGGGCCTTGGCTAGCAACTCTAGCATGCTTTTTGATGGGCGCTTCATCACTGAGAAAAGGAAGCTTGATGAACGGAGGCCACCCAAGAAGGCGGTCATCGTCACCTTATCGTCGGGTTTATCAACTTGGAGTACCTCCTCGTTAAAATGAGTGAGATAACTCCTCAGGCTCTCCTCGCGGTCCTGTTTTATACAAAGTAGGTGCGTAACAGACTTCTGATGGCGACGCCCTCCAATGAAATGTGAAACGAATGATTTGCTAAGCTCAGCGAAGGAGGCAATGGAGGCGGGGGAGAGCTTAGCAAACCACTGTTGGGCAAACCCCTTTAAGGTGGTTGGAAATGTCCTGCACATGATTTCGTCTGGTACGTTGTGCAGCTGCATCAAAGTCTTGTAAGTGTCGAGGTGGTCTAGTGGATCCTTTGTTCCATCAAAGGTCTCCACAAATGGCATTTTGAACTTCTGAGGGAAGGGGTAGTTTGCTACATCAGGCTTGAAAGGCGTATCCGTACGCCTTACCAGGTGGTCTACAGTTTCGGGTCCCTGTGCCTTCATGGCGTTGAAGACATCACCCAGTTGATTTTATACTTCCTTGATTTTTTCGTCCCAATGATTGGGGGCTCCTCTGAAATGATCATGGAAATGAATTTCATGCTCGATGCTTTGGTTTTCGCCCTCATCCCCTTAGAGATAAGGGTCCTCTCCATGGGAAGCAAGAGGAGGGGGAGGTGGAACTACCTCATGTTGGGCTCCCCCAAGTGGGGCGCCCAAGGGGGAGCCTAGGCGTGGAGCAGCAGGGCGTGGTGCTCCTTAATGTTCAGGGCGTGTAGCTCCTTGGGGTCCTCCATGTTGTGCTCCTCCTTGGGGTCTTCCATGTTGTGCACCTCCAAGTTGTGCTCCTCCTTGGGGTCCTCCAAGTTGTGCACCTCCGAGTTATGCTCCTCCTTATGGTCCTCCATGTTGTGCACCTCTAAGTTGTGCTCCTCCTTGTCCAGGAAGCATGAGTTGCAGTAACTATTGGTTTTGGGCCACCAGCTGCTGCATGGTCTCCAACATCTGCTGGGGATTCGGAGCTGGAGCATTCGGGACAGAGTTGGTAGGTGGAGAAATAACCTCCTCCTCTCGTGGAGGATTGTCTTCAGGTTGGTTCATGGATCAGGTAGTGATCGCCATTGGTTTAGTGGATGTAATGTTCGGGAGTGAGAATTTTGTCGTTTCTCATAGACGGCGCCAAACTGATGATGCACAAAAATGGTTTTGTATACCACCTGTCAAGTGTAAATAATAAATGCAGTAAAAGTAAAGAGAGAATTGGAGGAGACAAGATTTATAGTGGTTCGGTCAACTCGACCTACGTCCACTCTTGAATGGCTTTCGTTGTGGGGTACTTTATTAATTTAAGGGTGTGGAGACAGAGAATACAAGCTTCGAGGGAGAAGAGAGAGTCAGGGAAGGTGTGATGCCAGGCAATCAGTCTCCTCCTAAGTGTTGATGGAGTATACAATTTATAGTAGCTCCTTAATAGGTTGGGACTACTTTTCAGCGACTAAGCAACCATTTCAGTTGAGCTTCGATCTCTTCTCAACGAGCGAGGTGGTTGAGGAGCTCTCCATGAGACGCGGTCAAAAATATGGTAAGGGTGGACCGTTTCCTTCGGTGGTGCAGATAAGACTTCTCATGTTCTCCCATTGATGACGTGGCTAAGCAAAGAATCTAATTTGGTCTTAGGCTATGTTGGGCTTGGTAGATCTTTAAATGAGGTAGGACTTCTTAATTGATATTTGGACTTTGCACATAGATTGAGTCATTTTGGGCTTGACCCATCAGGAACATATCACTGTTACAATATTAAATAGGTTAGGTATACTTATAGTTCTTGAAATATGTGTTCTTTTGTCATTTTAATTCTTATTATTTTAATTATATCATTTTAGTCATTTAGATTTTGAAAGTTTGTGATCACAAGAGATACACATGATCATCTTCGTCAATCAATTTAAACTATGCTCTTCGATTGAAGTACAGTGATACAAATTAAAAACTTGGAGGAACTTAATTAACACAATAAAAATATTAGAGAGCACAATGACACGAAAAGCATAATCTTAAAAAAAATATTTTGGCCTTATGAAATTATCATATTGATTAATAGGAAGCTATAGTATTTTTTTTCTCACCAATGGCAATAACTGACATACCTTGACCTGCTGTTTGTCATGCCAGTGCATTTGGAGGTGCATTCTTACTTCTTCATCCATCTTCCCAACATACTGCCTCAGCACCTCCGGCTTTAAAAACGATACAAGCGCCGCCCTCATGCGGCGGTGATCCTCACCGGTCAGCTCCAAGATATTCCTCTCGCCACATAGCCTCCGCAACGATGCTGGTTGCTTATTAACAAGAATGTTGCTGTCACAGGTGTATATGAACTTGTTTGCAGCTTGTCCATGGAGAAGAACAGTTGGTGTTACAAAAACGTTGAGTTTTGAAATGGGTCCGTACTTTTTTATTCTTTCTTGGATCCATTGTTCTCCCTTGTTGGCTCTCATGGCTCGAAAAAGACTCAGGTTCAGGGCCTATGATGGGTATTCCCATTGAACCTGGTGGGAGTCTTTTGGAAGATCTCTTGGTTAGAAGAAGGAGAAGAGGCAGAAGCAGAAGAGGCAAAGTCAAAAAGATTAGAAGCTCCATGGCAGAGAGAGAGAGAGATTGAGAGAGGTGTATGTGATCTGCAGAGCTTATAATAGGGGTTGTTGATTTGTGGGAGGTGAAAATGACCACCTCCGAGTTACGTATAGAATTATACTATGTCAATTAAGTCTTTAAATTATTATTTATGTCAATTTAGTCCCTAAATTATACAATTTGTGTCAATGTGACAGTTCGTCAAAATTTGCGGTTAACTTTTCCAATTCATCACATGTACATCACGTGAGTTGGTGATTAAGGTATAGTTTAAGGTCATATTCTGCGTACACGAAGAATTCTTTGAAACTAAACAATCCCTGCAGATCTCAAAGAACTCGGATAACCTCACTGCCTGAAGTAACAAAGTTACATTCCACATCAAGATGTAAGACAACAAAATTTGGAGGTAGTGAAGCGTACGTCAACAGAAGTACACAACGATGCATAAATCATGCATACCTGATCTCCTGCCTTCCGATAAATTTCAAGTGCCCTAACAGCATCATGCCGTTGCATCTCAAAAAACTGTTACACAATGCATGTTAACACTACTTTATAAGACACGTAAAGTGGCCATCTGATTGCATCAATCTGCAACTGAATTTGTACCTTGTCTACCAGATTTACCATTCCATCAGTAGTTGTTACATAAATTTTAACACTTCAAATTTAGACGAAGGTAGAGACCAAATAGATAGTTATGTCATTGGTTTATTATTACTGATATGGTCACGTGACAATTCCTTCTCTTCCTTTTAGTTGATTATGACGTTGATATGGATATAAGGTGTAGGCATAAGTGTTCGACATCACATATATTAGCATCCATATTTAAAACAGTAATGTTACGCTAACTAAATTTTAGAACCAAATTTAGAGCCTAAATGACATGGCAGCATATTATTTGTAGTCTTTATTGGGGCCCAAATAACATAGCACCAAATAAAGAAGTCTAAGTCAGCTGTCATGTCATTTGGGTTCTAAATTTAGTCCCAAAATTTGGTCAATGTTACATTACTGTATTTAAAAATATGTCCTAATTGATGTATCGACTAACATGATCAAATGGTATTATAGTAACTATAATTATTGGACTTTGTCATTAATTACACTTCAAATAATTTTATTTAATAGTAGTGAGGGAACTAGATGTATTGCCAAGTTGCTACTGCTGATCAGCAGTAACAAGGCCTAGTTGCTATTGTCTAGCTGTTACCACCTACCTGCTATTGCCTACCTGTTACTGCTCAATTGCTACCGCTTACCTACTACTGCCCAGCTTCTAACGCCTACCTGCTATNTGATCAGCAGTAACAAGGCCTAGTTGCTATTGTCTAGCTGTTACCACCTACCTGCTACTGCCTACCTGTTACTGCTCAATTGCTACCGCTTACCTACTACTGCCCAGCTTCTAACGCCTACCTGCTATTACCAGTCAACACTAGTCAAAGGGGGGTCCTTGCACGAGCCTACTCTTAACCACTAAGTCTCAACGACTCAGCTAAGGTCTAATCAAGGACTTAAGAGTCCTAGTCCAACTCTACTTCGAGTATCAAGGGACTAGTGATAAGGATAATAATGCCTCCTGGAGAGCATATCTCTTCCTTCAATCTAGGATCTAGTATCCTAGTATGATTCTACCTCGAATAAGCAGGAGTTGTAGATAAGGATCTAGGACCAAGAGTCCTAATCTAACTCTACTCCGTGCATCTAGGGCCTGGTGACAAGGTTGAGCCAATCAACCAAGAGTTCAGATTACTTTGGGATACATCTCTCTATTGCTATAAATAAAGGCCTCCAGGTATCAGGCAAATCATTCAATCCTAGCCTATTTACTCAATACTTCTCTCTGACTTGTGATTTGGCTTAACCATCGGAGTTCCTTTGGCCTGTGGTCATCAGTTCACCTAATTATTTTCTTGTCTTGAAGGTTCAACGAGGCTTCTTCACCACCATCTCCGTTCGTACAAGGTGTTTACTCTTTGTGTGAAATTATTCCTGCAAAATTGGCGCCGTCTGTGGGAAAACAACTAAGTTTTCTAGTAACTCAAAAGCTTTGAGCCATGTGAGACGAAAGAAGCCACGACCCAAAAATGAGTCACACAGCTACCTTGCCTTAAGCCAGCCTCATTGGTTGCACCTCAAGCCTCAAGGCTACTTGACCTCAAGCCAACCTATAAGGTTGCACTTCATCTCAAGCCAATCTCTGTAATTGCACCTTAAGGCTCCTTCGCCTCTTACCAACCTCTAAGGTTGTATCTCAAGCCAACCTCTATGGCTGCACCTCAAGGCTCCTTCACCTCTTGCCAACCTCCAAGGTTCTACCTTAAACCAACCTCTATGGTTGCACCTCAAGGCTCCTTTGCCTCTTGCAAACCTCTAAGGTTCTACCTCAAGCCAATCTCTGTGGTTGCACCTCAAGGCTCCTTCACCTCTTGTCAACCTCTAAGGTTCTACCTTAAGCCAACCTCTGTGGTTCCACCTCAAGGCTTCTTCGCCTCTTATCAACCTCCTTGTTTGCACCTCAAGCCAACCTCCATAGTTACACCTATAGCCAACCTCCATGGTTAAATGTAAAGCCAACCTCCGTGATTGCACCTCGAGCCAATCTCCATGGTTGCACCTCAAGCCAACCTTCATGGTTTCAATTCAAGCCAACTTCCATGGTTTCACCTCAAACCAACATCTATGGTTTCAGTTTAAGTCAACCTCCGTGGTTGCACCTCAAGGCTACTTGGCCTCCATGTGATCTCCATAGTTGACTTTCAAGGCTACTTGGCCTCCTTTCAACCTCCACGATTGCCCTTCAAGGCTACTTGGCCTCCTCGCAAGTTACACAGTTGCCTTTCAGGCTAATTTTCCTCCATGAAACCTTTAAAGATGCCCTCTAAGTTACTCAACCTTTGACAGACGACTAGCAATTTCTACAATTGCTTAGTAGGCTACTTAGCCTTTCTTAAGGATTTGTCACCTCTAAGCATCAAACCCCTCAACTTGTGGGGACCCTCCTCCTTTAGTCAGAAAGGGGGGCACATGTGTTAGAAGACTCAAACCATCACTATCAAGCAACTTCTTCATGATCTCAAGAATCATGAAGTCACTCTCAGGCCATGGAACGTCCTCCCAAACTGGATATGACACATCAATCCCAATTGCTTGAGAGCTCCTCCCCAACCATCTCTAAATGACTTGTTCTTCTCTCTTGCATATTTCTTCTTGACTATATGCTTGACCTTATTTCGTTGAACCTAATCTCCAAACATCACCCAATTTATGTGTATGGCTTATACAAATAGGTGAGTGTCACTCTCCTTCGAAATGATGCAAGAAATGGGGTGAACATGTGTGTGGGATGAAAATGTATGTGTGTGTGCAAAAGTGCTCCCCAAGCGTAGAGAGACTTTTCATGTATCAGGTTTTACTTGGAATGGAGTATTCCAAGGATGGTTGAATTGTGGTAAAGGTGATTTTGCAAAAGGTAAAAAAAAAGTAAAATCTTTTGAGTTTGAGGTTGTGTGTTTGTGAATGAAGATTGGTTGTAGAATGCAATAAGAACAAGGTTGGCTAATCCGAAAAAGTCATTCTAATAGGAATGTCAAATCAACTCAGAACAATCTACCAATGGTGCCTAGGTGCTTGATTGATTCGTAGGAAGTGAGGGACTAATGTGGAATGTAGGCTCAAGCATACCCCAAGATAAGTCTACGGTGTATCAAGAGCTCACAATCACGTTCGCACTCAACATAGTCAAACCAAGTACTTTACACTAAGAGATAGAATAGAGAAAAGTTGATTTAGCATACCCAAGAGAAAATTCCCCTTGGATTAGCCAACAAAAAAGCTTAGCTGCTCAGAACTAACGGAAAAACATTCATGATGTAAAGAGACATTTAGAAGGAATGGAAATGAAAATGAGATGAAAATGGAACTTAAAACTTGTATTAATGCTAGGAAGACAAGTGAACTTCATTTAACACTAAAATGGAAAAGCTCATTTCCATAATCTTTACGAAGAGAAGTTCATTTAACACTAAAATGGAAAAGTTACAAAGAAGACAAGTGAAACCTAGCAAAGATTATGGAAATACAAGAACATTGAATTAAACTTGACTACACTTGAAATAAAAGGGATTACAATTCAATAAATAAAGATTAACAGAGTGTTACAGCTTACAGCAAGTGGAATGGGTAAAGAAATTGCAAGAAATTAAGTTTTCTCTCTCTAAAAATTATATCTTCTACCTTGAGCTTCTCTATCTAAAAAGTGCAGCACAATGCTGTAATGTGGAGAGTCCCCCCTGTAATTTCGTACATGAGNTTTCTCTCTCTAAAAATTATATCTTCTACCTTGAGCTTCTCTATCTAAAAAGTGCAGAACAATGCTGTAATGTGGAGAGTCCCCCCTGTAATTTTCGTACATGGAGTATATTGGTCTCTGGGCTAACTGAATTCCATGATTAGAGAAGCTTGGAATCCTGCACAAGCAAGGTGCAGATATGTCTTTACTCCTCTACCACATTGCCAACCTCTCTCATTCTCACTCCTCTTCTCCCATGCCTTATCTTCCAAAGTCAAAAAAATGTGTAAGGGATGCATGGTTGTAGGAAGGACATGTCAGGGTACGTGTGGGAGAAGTGTAGGTGGGACCCCAAGGTGGTTGGAGACTGAATTTCAGGTGTCTGACATTTCTGAGCAAAACCTTTTGAAAGGTTTTGACAAGGCAAGGGAAGAAAGTTGTCCAGTGGCCCAAACCTTCCAGAAGGTTGATGGAAANGCAAGGTGCAGATATGTCTTTACTCCTCTACCACATTGCCAACCTCTCTCATTCTCACTCCTCTTCTCCCATGCCTTATCTTCCAAAGTCAAAAAAATGTGTAAGGGATGCATGGTTGTAGGAAGGACATGTCAGGGTACGTGTGGGAGAAGTGTAGGTGGGACCCCAAGGTGGTTGGAGACTGAATTTCAGGTGTCTGACATTTCTGAGCAAAACCTTTCGAAAGGTTTTGACAAGGCAAGGGAAGAAAGTTGTCCAGTGGCCCAAACCTTCCAGAAGGTTGATGGAATCCTTCTAGAGGTTTATTCCAAAAGGCAAAACCTTACGGAAGGTTTTGGCAGGGCATTACGTAGTTCAAAGTGCAGACCTTCTAGCAGGTCTGTGACCCAACCTTCCGGAAGGTTTTCATCCATTTTGTCTTTTTCTTGGTTTCTTCACATCCCAATCCTTCCTTTAAGTTATTCCTTAATCTCCATTGTCTTTAAGCACTTCAATGGGGGCTTAACTCAAGCCATTTGCAATTCTTCACCTACATTCACACAAGATTTCATTAAAAAGTAGATTAACTGTATTTCTTTCCAAAATCACAACAAAAGTAAGTATAAAAAGGGTATAACCACATACAATATATGCAATATTTTATGCTAATCACTATGTCCAAAGATCCCAAAGTAATGATCATAGACAATATTCTTTACTTGCTAAGTATTTTCCCTTGCAGCCTTAGCAAGTTCCTCTTGAAGCTCTTCAACTCAAGTCTCTATCTCAATAACCTTATTCTTCAAGAAGACATTCTCCACTCTAGAATCTTTAAGTTACTTCTCACGCATTTTTGCCCTAACCATATCAGACTCGA